TATACAGGGACCCAGTGCTACACAGGATTTTTACTCATTCCTTCATTCAGCCCCTCCCCCTGCCTGCAATGCAAAAGGAGCCATGGTTAAGCCGTCAGGCCAGAGCCGGTGGCCTGGCTCGAAGCCCGGCTCTGTCACCGGGGGCAGCCTGGGCCCCAGGCCAGCTAAGCCCGGTCGCCCAGCCCGTGGCTCTACCCATCAGAGGCAGCGGATGCCAACACCATCTCCTGGGGTCGTTGCAACGGTGGGCTGACGTATACAAATCTAAGATAATTTAATAAAAATGCACGGAGCCGGTCCTGAGTGAACAGGAGCCACTGATGCGGCATTGTGGTCCCCGTCGGTGTCACTCCAGTTTTCGCAGCTGGTCCCTGGGGACCCCGAGCGTCTCCCGGTGAGACCCCAGACCTCCAGGAAAGTGAGGAATCCACTGTGAGAGGCCGAGGCGGGCAGAGAGCTTGGGGGCCACGGGCCCCGTCAGACGGCTTCGAAGGGGCAGGGCGGGGACCTCAGCCTCCCTGGCCGAACTGCCCTTCCCGACCCTGCCAGGACCACGTGACTGTGTGCTGGGGGGTGGGCGCGGGGGGCACCATGCATTCACTCCTCACTCAGCCCACACGCCCTCCTGGGCCTCCTGGACCGGCCCAGCAGGTCTCTCCAGCTGCCCGCCATCTCTGCCAGGCCCCCGCGCCCCCCGACCCACTTCAGCCACAGGCGTGGTGGGACGAAGCGCCCTGGGAAGGCCTGTTGCAGGAGCAGGGCTGGCGGGTCGAGGCGGCCGCCCCTGAGCGCAGCCTGTCGCTGTAACATCGGGATGCCGCCCTTCACCAGGCTTCCCATACATCCCGCCATCGGGGCTGCGTCAAGCCCGACTCTGAGCAGGGACGACAGTTTCCAGGGGAACTGCTGCTCTTTGGCGGCTGAAGGCCCTGGTGGTCTCACCTCTGAGCTGCTCCTAGAAGTGAAGCTCCCACGGCCAGACCTGGCTCGTCTCCACGAGACGAGCCCGTCTGGAGAGGGCGGGGACCCCAGGCCTGTCCCACTGCTCACAGCCTCCTCCCTGAGGCCTCCAAGCCCTCCCCTGGCCCCGCTGCTGGCTTCACGCCTCAGCCTGACCCCACCACACGCATCCTGAGTGAGCACCACGGTGAGCCGGCCCCGGCCAGGTCCCACCTGTGGGGATGGACGACACCCGGGCCTGGCACCACAGAGGGACCATGAACGGAGTGGCCACGAGTGGCGGGCACAGGTCTGGCCGCTCCAGGGGCAGAGGTCAAGCAGAGCCCAGGCTCCTGGTGGGAGGGGGTGGAAGTCCCAGCGTCCAGCCCCTCTGAGTCCAGGCTGCCTCCTGTCCCGGGTGCAGGGCCCGTCCGCCACTGCCCGGCGGCACTCGGCCACGGCAGGCAGGCGTGCAGAAGGCAGATGAGTCCCGAGGCTGACTCGAGGCGCCCCGATCTGGGGAGCCCATTGCTGGCCGGGCAGGGGAAGAGCCAGGGTGTGCTGGGATCGCTGACCCGGGTCCGTCTGCTTTGCAGCCCACACTGCAGAGGCAGCCGGGATGGCAGAGGGTAGCCGCCTGCGCTGGGGACCACACTGCCAGCAGCTCCTGCCCAGCAGAGCGCCCGTCACCGCACTGCTGCCCCCACGCCTGGACGGGCCCTGGATCTCCACTGGGTAAGACCCTGCTGAGGTCACGCTGACCACAGGCCCCTGGGCTGGAGGCTTCACCCACCCTGAGCCTCAGTGTCCCATATCTGTGAAATGGGCACAATTCGTGCAACTGTCCAGAGGCCTGCCCAGCACGTGCTTGCTGTCGCCCTCCCCAGAGTGAGCCTGGCAGGTGGGGACTGTGCCGGGCACCCTGCCCCGGCCACAGACAAGTCACTTGTTCCACGCACTGAGCACCTGCTGTGCAAGCACTTACTGAGGAGCCACTAGGAGCTGGGTGCAGGGGGAGCTGCAGTGGAGACAAGCCCTAAACACAGAAATAAGTGGCATAAACTTGAGATGGTGAAAGATATAAAATGGAGGATGTGAGAGTGAGTGGCCTGGGAGGGCTCTTTCGAGGGCGGTCACAGAAGGCTTCTCGGAGATGGTGGCATTCAGTCAAGATCTGTAAGGAGGAATGAGTCAGCCATCCAGGGAGCCAGGGGCAGAGCCAGGCAGAGGCAGCAGCTGGTGCAAAGGTCCTCAGGCTGGAAGGAGTAGGCCAGAGAGGGCCCGGGGTCCTGCCTGCCCATCCAATTCTCCTTCTAACCTGACAGGCTCACCTGACCTTTCAGAGGCCTCAGTGCTGCTCTGGGGCGATGGGCTTTGTGCTCTGCCCTCATCTGCGGGGCAGCCAGCTGGGTCCTCCCTCCCAGGGTCAGGGAGAAGGAAGGCAGTGTCCTCCTCCACACCTAGTACATCCCCTCCTCCCCGGCCAGCCCCTTGGGCCAGTCCCATTTTGGGGGTCAGGGACTGGACTTTCCATGTCCTCCACGCACCTCCCGAGGTCAGGGAAAAATCCAACTGCCAAACATCTGCTAGCGCACTGGGGGAGGAAGGGGACTTGAGTTCTGCAAAGATGCTCTGGATGCATTCCCAGGCTCTGCCCCCTCCTCGACTCCACAGGCCAGGTGGGGTTCATGCACCACTGGCCGGGGTCACTCTGAGACAGAACTGAGACATGGGGAGGATGGGGACTGGCTGCAGGCTGTTCCTGCCCCAAGACAACAGCATTACAGATAGTTTTAGAAACTTCTAATATTTTCTTCCTAGAAAGTCCCCCACTGTACCCTTCAGACAGGCTGTGCTGTTTTCTGGGAGTAGTGCAGGGACAGACCCAGAGTCTGGGAACCACCGAGCTGTCTGGTGTGACCTGCTGCGTTCCTCTGGGCAAATCTTCCCACCCTCGGGCATGTGAGTCACCTCTCTCCATTTTTAACTACTGCCTGTACTGGTATTTCCTTACAATTTTTCTTTAAACCAACTTGCTTTTGTTGGTGTAAATATATTCATGCATTTTTACAGCTTTATTGAGGGATAACTGGTATACTGTACACATTTATAGCGCTATGATTATTTTTAAAGGAAGTGTAAGATCACTGTGGCTATGGGGAGCTGAGCCACTTGCCATAAATAGAAGGAAACCATAAAAAGAAAGTCTGGGCTTCCCTGGTGGCGCAGCGGTTGAGAGTCCGCCTGCCGATGCAGGGGACACGGGTCCATGCCCCGGTCCGGGAAGATCCCACCTGCCGCGGAGCGGCTGGGCCAGTGAGCCATGGCCGCTGAGCCGGCGCATCCGGAGCCCGTGCTCCACAACGGGAGAGGCCACGACAGTGAGAGGCCCGCGTACCGCAAAAAAACAAAAAAAGAAAGTCAATGAAAACAAAACAACATCATTAAATTTTCACCTGATTCGCTGCCTGCCTAAGGCCCTGAGTCTGTTCACTTTGGGAGAAAAGGGAGATTGGTGTTAAAGACACATGAACTCCAACCGAGACTCTCTCCTTAATACAACCAGAAAGACTGAAAGAAAAGGGTGAGCGAGAACATATGTCTCCTGCTCCAGCAGCGCTGGTATGAAACATTTCGAGAAAATAACAGTACAGGTGGCACCTGGTTAGCGTAACATTGTGCAGGGGGTACCTGCCTACTCTTTTTCCCCGGGAACTTGTCCACCATCCACCCCAAAGCCAGGGTGTGACTGGGGGTCTAGGAGTCATGGTTTCGTCACCAGCAGAACAGGGCCCGGGGGTCAGGGCCAGCCTGATGCCTGGCTTTGCAAATAAAGTTTTATTGGCACACAACCACGCCCACCATGTACATACTGCCTCTGGTTACTTTAGCTCCAGAACCACGATCTTGAGTAACTGCCACAAAGACAGAAATACTTATTATCTGGCCCTTCACTGGAAAAGTTCGCTGGTTTAGATCAACAAGCCTGTCACGGATGTGGGTGAAATGTGGTGGCAGGGGGCCCGTCAGCTTAGCCAGGGGGGGAGACAATGTAAGCACCCATCATTCACGATTCACTCAGCAAGGACCAGGGTTTGGGGGGTCCAGTGTGTGCCAGGCCCTGGACCAGGTGCCAGGAATCCAACGGGGAGAGAACAGGCAGGACCCTGCCCCCAGGAGCTCAGAGCACAGGGCTCCACAAACGGTGCGAAGGAGCCCCCGTTTCTTAAGCTCCTCCCAGGTGCCACCACTGTGCTGGCTGCTTCCTTGAAACCCTGACTGTGGATCCAGGGCCTCCGAGTCCCAGAGGAAGGAGCCAGGCGTTATCCAGGCTCACAATCCTCAGGAGGGACGGAAATGGGATTTGAACCCGGGTCCTCTGGCTGCAAAGCCTGTGTGTCTCTTGGGCCAAGGGGGATCCATGGGACCCACGGGGAGCCGGGCCAGGAGTGGGGGATGTCATTTGGGATGGCATGGAAGGACAGCTTCTGCCGAGGCCACAAGGCAAGAGTGGAAGGGCCCCAGGGGGCTGAGATCAGTTGGGGAAACTGAGGCTGCAGGCTCCCAGCCCTGAGCTGAGGCCTGAAACAGAGCCTGCAGGAGGGGGATCCCGGAGCGAGGCTGGGGGAACTCACTGCTCTGCCCAACCCCCCTCTGCCCCCGCAGCTGCGAGGTGCGCCCGGGACCCGAGTTCCTCACCCGCTCCTACACCTTCTATCCCAGCCGCCTCTTCCGCGCCTACCAGTTTTACTACAGGGACCCCTCGTGCCGGGAGCCCGCCCACTCACTGCTCATCAAGGGCAAGGTGCGCCTGCGCCGGGCCTCCTGGGTCACCCGGGGCGCCACCGAGGCCGACTACCACCTGCACAAGGTGGGCGTCGTCTTCCACAGCCGCAGCGCCCTGCTCGACGTGGCCGGGCGCCTGGACCAGAGCCGGGCCGGCCGGGCCTGCGCGCGCCGCCTGCCCGCCGCCCAGGCCTGGCTGCCGGGGGCCCTGTACGAGCTTCTGGGCGCCGGGGCTGAGCGGGACTGCGCGGCCGCCCTGGGCTTCACCATGCACGAGCTCAGCCTGGTCCGCGTGCAGCGCCGCCTGCAGCCCGAGCCCCGGGACGCGCCCCGGCTGGTGGAGGAGCTCTACCTGGGGGACATCCACACCGACCGGGCCGAGAGGCGGCACTACCGGCCCACCGGCTACCAGCGCCCGCTGCAGAGCGCCCTGGTGAGTCTGGGGCCCCGGGAGGGCGAGCTCTGAGAGCCTGTGGGATCTGCCCCTGCCTAGGGCCCTCTCTGCACAGCTCCCCTCCCCCCTCCTCCACCCGCACTGGCCTGCCTGCCTCAGGACCTTTGCACATGCTCTTCCCTCTGCTCGAGACATCTTTCCTCAGGTCTGGACAGAAGGAACTCCTGGGGAGTCTTCTGGAGTGTGGTCCTCCTGACATGCTCCTCGTGGACCCGGCAGGGTCCCTTCCTGCCCCTGCTATGCACGGGCTGGTCCCCCCTCCCTCAGTTCCCGGCTCAGATGTTCCCTCCCATCCTCACTCTGCACGGTTCCCAGCACCCGGCACACTGTGGGCTGCACTGTTTGCTGGCTGACCGCCTTCTCCCAATAGCACCCATGGAGGGGGAGGCCCTATGCCCCTCCGTGTCCCCACAACTGGCCCAGGGGCTGGCACACGGGCTGGGCCAGTAAATGCTGGTGAATGAACTAGGGGGGCAGCTCCTCCAGAGCTCTGCCAGGCGGCCGCACAGCCCTCGAAGGCCCCTCTGGAAAGCTCCATGTGGACCCACTGTTACCCTGCAGCCAGCGGCGCTGAGCGCTCCCCGTCATAGTAACATCAGGCGGAGCAGCGCTTTCTCAGACTCTGACTGTTCTCAAGATGCCGGCACCTGGGCATCTTCTTAGAAAGCACAGTCAAGTTCACGGGTCTGGCCTGGGATTTTGCATTTCTAACAAGCTCCCAAGTGGTCCATGGACCACCCTCTGGGCAGGAGGCTGCAGTCTAAAGGGAGATGCCCTCTCTTTGAGATGTGCCCACCCCAAAGTGAATTTCACGTAAGTCAATTAACCTAGACTTTAACTTAAAGACATCACAAACATACTCTCCTGATTTGGGGAAGATCTGATAGCCCTTTTTTTGTCCGATGAGCACACAGGCAAAAAGAAACTGAACTTTATGTATGTAAAGTTCTCCTGGCACATAGCACAGAGCCTGGTGGGCAAGGCTAGGGTCTCGTGGCCACTCCAGTGAGTCTGGTGAAACCCCAGGACCCCTCCTCAGAAAAATATCTGTAAAAGCATAAAATAAAAGACATGGGATTTAAACAGAAACCAATTCTATTAAAAGAGTTACCCAAGTCTTAAAACACTCTGAGGTGGGAGTACTACGAATGGGAATTCTTTATTCTCCCTATTTCAAAGTAGCAATGAGTGTAAACAGTGTTTCTAGTATCTGCAACACTGTCAATATGAGATCCGCTGGAAAGCAGAAGTTTCCACTGAAGCTACAGGGGTTTGCTGCCCACGTTCACCATTAGAAGAAACTTTTGATTTTAGGCTGAGGTTTGTAAAAATGAAGTCGAGGTTAGGACTCTGGGTTAAGAATGTCTGTAGGAAATACCCAAGGGATATTTTTCAAAAGTGAGAATGGATGGATGGATGGATGGATGGATGGGGGAATGGATGAGTTCAGGCATCCCTATCAAGTGCTCTTTGAGCCCACAGACAACCCTCACATGTTCAGCATGTACTGAGTGCCTGCTGTATACTAGACACTTACGGAATTAAACCAGATGGGGCAACATGTCACCCCTGAGAGCAGCCTCTCGTCAAAGCATCCCCAGTGTGTGGGGGTGGGCGTGGGGGGAGGGGCACCAGGTTTGAGCCCATCCGCTCTCTCTCCTTCTCCCACCTCCCTCCTTCCAACCCAAGATCTGGGTAGCAGAAAAGAAGCACAACGTGAGGCCCTCGTGATGAGAAAATCAGCCTGAGTTCTTTTCATGACCTCGAAACGATTCCCCTTTCGGCAGCCAATGTTCTAGGCTGGTCTGACGTCCGTCCTTCTTAGAGCAGAGAAGGCACTGGTGGTGGGGTGATTACTGGCACCCACCACCTCATTAGGAGGGCACACTGCTCTGAATGCAGAGAGGACGGACCCCGGGGCACGGAGGATGACAATGTCGTGTCTCCCCAGGCCAGGCTCTGGGGCTGCAGACTCCTGCCCTCCTGCTGCCTGACCAGCCAGGGTGGCCCATGCAACCTGCAATGCAATTGCCAAGCAGAGCATACAGGACCAGCAGGGCCAGATGTATGGATGTTAAGTTAAATGTTCACTCACCAACTGCCCCCCTCCGCATAAAAAAAAGAAAAAAGCAAGATAATTTCACAGAAGGAAACACTGCAGATAAACCCCCCAAGTAACGAATCAGTCATTACCTTATGCTCTCTGGAGCCCAAGCCTTGCCCACAACCCAAACCAGATGGTAAACATGAACATTTTTAGAAGTTAATTAATTTAAAACCAATTTGATCCCCAAATTCATTGCCTGGATATAGAATCCTAATCAATCAGTCAACACTCGACCAAAATCCTGTAAGCCTGGTGTCACCTCTGGGAGTTAACTAGCAACTGTATGTGCTGTTGGTATAACTTTATATAACAGGCCTAAACCAGTAAGAGTTTGGCTTGCACACAAGTGTGAGTTCTGCTGGCTGGGGCCTTGTTAATTAACACGTGCAACTCCGGACCTGTGCGCAACGATGCCTGGAAGGTGTTTGATAGACAGGTACTTTCTTCCATCCCCTTCCAGAGCATCAGGGAGGGAAATGCTTCCTCTCTCCCTCTCTCACCTTCAAGTCTTGCTAGTTGTCCATTTGTTTCTGCCATGCAGAACACTGCTTGCCCCAAATTACCAACCAGCATCCCCAGATGTCCTGTCTGCAAAAGGTTATCCCTTTTGAGGGAGAAAGGCAGCCCCGAGATTATTTTGGTGTAATGCACTATGTCCTGTCAATACACATTAGTGTAACAACAGTTGGAATGTGGGTTAAAATGCCTGAATTAGAGGAGACTCTTACCAGCCAGCATTCCAATTACCTGCACTCCAGCTAACTACCCAGCTTTCTTGCTTCTTTCCCGTCACAAACCTTTCTGTAGCCATTTATTAGCATTTCCAAGTGCATTCTAGTCCGCTGGGTCAAAATCCCCCAAACCAAAAATAATATCGTTTCCTGTATTATGGGAAAAAAAAGGCAACTTTAGGTTCACCAGAGAAATAAATAAGAGCTTATAATGTAGCAATCCAAAACAGAAAAAAAAAAAAAAAAAGTCTGTTCTCAATCATCCAATATTTTATTTCTAAACTGGAACTCCCAAATGCGCCCTTGTTTGGCATGAAACTCATCCAGAAGCAACCTATGGAAATCTTTTGTTTTTTGAACAAAAAAAATTGGAGCTGTTTTCCCAGCTGGGGCTTCAAGATGCCTTTCCCCTTCCCTGTCCTGTGTGCACCCATGGCCCTGGGTGTTCTTCTGGAACTGCAAAATCTGGGGATGCTTGATTTGACAAGTGGCTGTTCCAGGACATGTACCTCTCAGAATGATGCTCTGAACTAAATTCTGGGCAGCAGCTCCCTTAAAAAAAAAAAAAAAATGTCTGTATCTGGTTTCTTTTGGGCCTGGACAGAGCTTTTTCACTCCAGAATGCAGACTGACTACTCCCACGCAACTTGGTTTAGCATCTGCTTCCTGTTGACGTGTTTTACTGTAAACCCAGCTCACGAGAATTTATAAGACAGGGGCAACTGTAAATAAGGCCAAAGCGAGAGGAAAACAGCCTCGGGCAACTAAGGACTGTGGCCTGCACCTGACAACCAACGCAGAGGGGGCTGGGTTTCCAATTATAAATAACACAAGCATGAACATCTTTGTGCCAAATCTCTTTGCAACTTTTCAGCCACGCCTCAGCACAGACGCTCAGCAAGGGGTTCCAAGGGCGTGAGAATTTTAGTGGCTGTAAGGTAACAGTGCATGAAAAGTGCTCAGCACAGCTCCTGGCCCTTACGAAGCACCTAAAAAAGAATGAGTTGGGGGTGGGGGAAGTAACAACAGGCAGGAGAAAGACAGTAAACATTAACGGTCGAATTTCGGGACCAAGCAGGCCGGGTGTGGGAAAGGACAACTTCTTTCAAATCCCAGGACACAAGTTCCATCCGTCTCTCCTTCCTTCGTTTGCCCAATACACCTGCTGCGAGCAGGTACTGTGCTAGGCCCTGGTGATGGAGCAGCCACAGAGAGACAGCCTGAGCTTCCTGGAGCTCACTCTCCAGTGAAGGGGAAGGAGTGGAGAGCAGAGGAAAGAGGGCGTGACACGTCCCTGAGCACTAGAAGGGGCTGAGGCCCACCATACAAGGAAGGGGTGGTCGGGAAACATCTCTCTAAGGCCTCTGAGCTGAGACTGAGAGGTCGGGAAGGAGGCAGCCAGGCTACGTGCCAGGGGGAGTTCCGGGTAGAAGCAACAGCAGGTGCAAAGGCCCAGAGGATGGAGGAGCCGCCTGAGGTCCCCGAAGAGTGAAGTGACCGTCCGGGCTGCAGGCGGGGAGGGAAGGGGTGATGGGCGGCCGGGGGCGGGACCCCGAGCCAGCCCGCCGCAGGTGCACCCTGACCTCCCCGCCTCGGAAGTCACCGCCTTCCCTTTGTCTCTGCCAGCACCACGCCCGCCCCTGCCCGGCCTGCAGCCTCATCGCCCACTCCGACGAGCACCACCCGCCCGTGCTGCCCCGCCAGGCGGCCCTGCCCCTGCGCCTGGGCGGCCGCTGGGTCAGCCCCGGGTGCGAGGTGCGCCCTGCCGTGCTCTTCCTCACCAGGGTGTTCACCTTCCACGGGCACAACCGCTCCTGGGAAGGGTATTACCACCACTTCTCGGACCCCACCTGCCGGCAGCCCACCTTCACCGTTTACGCAGCCGGCCGCTACACCAAGGGCACGCCGTCTGCCAGGGTTCGTGGCGGCACCGAGCTGGTGTTCCAGGTCACGCGAGCCCGCGTCACCCCCATGGACCGGGTCACCACGGCCATGCTCAACTTCTCCGAGCCGAGCAGCTGTGGCGGCCCGGGGGCCTGGTACCTGGGAGCCGAGCGGGACGTCACGGCCACCAACGGGTGCCTGCCGCTGGGCATCAGGCTCCCCCACGTGGAGTACGAGCTCTTCAAGATGGAGGAGGACCCCCTCGGGCAAAGCCTGCTCTTCATTGGACAAAGGCCCACTGACGGCTCCAGTCCCGACACCCCGGAGAAGAGGCCCACATCCTACCAAGCACCCCTGGTGCTCTGTGACAGGGTGGCCTGGGGCTGCTCCAGGCCTCCGCAGCACAGGCCTCTGCTGCAGACGCCCGTCAGCGGTGGGGGGCTGGGCCCCCCAGCGGCCCCTCTCCCCTTCCTGCTCCTGGTTCTCAGGCTGGCCTTCCTCCAGTGGCTATGAAATTGGTCTCTGACTTCCAGACGGTGTCTCAGGACACTCGTCCGACCCCACGGACTCCCTTCTGACACAGACTCCTCCACCCGTGACCGTCCTGGACAGCTACACAGCCCAGCCTGCGTCCTAAGTGGCTCAGCACCTGAGTTTCAACAGCGCCTGCAGAGTCTACACCACGGCCGGCAACTCGAATCATGCCCACAAACTCGGGCATCGCAGCAACGTCAATTGCTCCGAGTTCCTAAGCGCTCACTCCCAACTTTCCTGGGCAGCGCGCGGACCAGCGCCGGGGGGTGGACCACACCCGTCTCCCTGCCCGACGGCACCCCATTTCCCTCCCTGAGCCCTTGAGATTCAGTGAAATGGAAACACGGTTCTGCACGCGCGTGCTGCCACTGCTCTGCTGAGTCTGTGGGTTGTTGTTTAAAGATTATTAATTTGAATTTAGCAATACAAACTGAAACCCGAGCCATGAATTAAAGATGCTGCTTCGGGCTTTCAGTACGTCTCAGCTCACTGGCAGGGGGCTCGGCTCGTCTCTTTGGGAGCAACTCGGCTTTCTTGAGTCGTGACTGCTGGCGTTTTGTCTGCGCCTGCCTATGCTTCTGTGAGTCAGACCTCGAGCTGTCAACACGGCGAGCGGGTAAATCCAGCCCTCCCCGGCCAGCAAGCAAATAAAGGCAGCCCCATCCACACCAAACCCCAGCGTGTAGGGCTGGCAGCCAGGGTCAGGTCTTTGGAGGAAAGCAGCGTTTCCAGCCTTTGGAAAGTAATTAATACTAATGACAGCGGTGACACTAATGTGCTCTGTAATTAGCCCTGCACAGGCGTCCTCTGTTTTCAAGATTCCCTGTGCTTGGCTGACGAGGAGGGAGAGAAACCTCCGACGCGTCTTTGGGACCATCCTAGGGTCAGTGGGCTACCCGGCCACATCTGGAGGAGGAGGGAGCAGAGGGCCACACCTCACCCAGCCTGCTCGCTGCAGTGCTAACGTGCTGATGTTCTCTGCTCAGAGGGGGCTGTCATCAAGGTGGGGACAGGCTGTGCCTCTCCAGGAACCCTGCCTGTGTTCCCAGGGCCTCGTCTGTACACTGTGAAATTAACTGGCATCCTGGTGGGCTCAAGGGTTTCCGGGATGCTGTGCCGATGACTCACGCCCTCCTTCCTCTGCCCGAACCCTGTCTCTGGCTCTTACCACAGGTCTTGAACAACAATTGTCTGGGAGGCTAATGGTGCTTTCAGAGGGAAGCCCTTGTCCTCTGTTCGGCTGTGTGGGGTTCAATCAGCCCGCTGAAATTGCCCTAACTTATCTACACAGCCTTCTTAAAAACAAAACAAAACAAAAAACCCGAGTTAATATTCTCTGTAGGTCTCAGAGAGCTATGAGTGAGTGTTCGTGGCATATTTACCAAAGTACAAGAAATAATTAGATTATTTACAGTCTCAGACTGCATCGGGGTGGGCGGTGTGGCAGTGTTCCTGGTGGGGATGAGGGTGGGTGGTGGGAACATGTCCACGGCTGAGCAAGTCTTGTATCCAAGGCTTAAGGCAGCCATACCACCATTTATCATCAAATTTGAATCTTTTAATAAAATTAAACAGCCTGAAAAATGTTCCTGCTGGTTATTAAAGTCAACCAAGGGGATTACGGTTCTAAAGAAAGGAAGTGAAGTGTCCTGAGAGAACGTGTGAAAGAGAATAAAACAAGTGGAGGTAAACCCCAGCTCTCTCTGTTATGCACCTTCACTTCACGCCACTGCCCTGTCCTAATTAAAGCTCTCTGGGGGCTTCCAGCGCACACAGAATAAGATCCCAGGTCTACGATACCTCCCCTTGCCCCGGCTGCACTGGGGTTCCTTCTGTTTCTTGATCACACCAAGCTGTTTCCTGCCTCAGGACCTTTGCATGTGCCACGGCCGCTGCCCAGCACCTCTTCCCCCAGATCTGCAGAGGCTCAGCTCCTCTCATTCAAGTCTCAGACCACATGTCACCTCCTCAGGGAAGCCACCATAAGCATCCCCCCACCCCCACCCCGAAAAGCAGCCTCCTTTTGCCTGCTGTCCTATCTAACCATCCCATCACTCTGCTTTGTGTTCTTTATAATGCTTACTGATCAGTGTCTGATTTATCCACGCTTATTCTCTGCCTCAAGGGAAGGACTGAGTCAGTCACTGGGATCTCTTCCAGCAGCTTCAGCTGTACCTGGCCCACGGGAGAACTTCAGTGAATACAGTCAGGTAAACCAGGTCGTTGGTGATCCTGGTTAACCCTCGCCAGCAAAGAAGTCACTGCCACACGCCCGGCATCCTGGGAGGGAGGCCCCACAGTGCAGGGTGTGACTCTGCAACTTGCAGAGAGAAAGCAGGCTCGGAGCAGAGAGGGACCAGCCCGAGGCTGCCGCAGCCAGGCCCCAGCGCCTGAGAGCTGAGCCTCCATCTTGGGGTGTCCCTCTGGGACTCTGGTCCCTGGCAGGGGTGGGATCCGTGACTGTATTTGGGGAAAGCAGTTCAGAGCTGCTTTGTGGGACTGGCTGGGCCTCCCCTAATTAGGAGGCCCGTGCTCAGGAAGAGAGAAGGTTCCTGGCCCCACTGACTGGACTGAGGCACCCTCCCATCCCCGGCTTCTTGGTTCTGGAGCATTTGGCGCTGACAGAAAATCCCAGGCTCTTTTCTCCCGGGCAAGAAACCATGCTTCCCAGACTCCAGGCTCCAGTGAGGGGTGGGTTTGGGGTCCGAGGGCTGAGGGGACTCTCCCAGGGATGGGGACCCACCTTATTGTTAAGTCTGGACCCTCCACATAGAACCCAAGATAGCTTTAAGCAGAGGAGGCGAAAGTAAAACCCACGGTTGTAGTTCAAAACAAAACAAAACAAATGTTCTCCTTTGTACGTTCAGCCACGTTTAAAAGGAAAACAAAAACAAACCCGTGCAGTTTGTAATTTCATAGCACAGGCTCCCAGGAGGGTAAATGAGTATTTTTTGTTTTTGTTTTTAATAGAAAGTTTAAATTGTATACAGTTCTCAGAGGCCCATTAACAGATGCTGGTTATCAAAAGAAGTTCTTTCTTTGCTTTCTATAAGCGAATGTGTTTCATCTCCCAGTGGTGCTGCTGGCGTGATCGACACGGCTCACAGTGACGCGGGCTATGCTGTGCTGCCCCGGGCCCTGGGGCCTCTTGACTCAGGCAGGAGCCGGGAGGGGCAGCGCTTCCTGCTGCAGAAGGGACCGTGGCCCAGGCGGGGAGGGGGTGGACCTGGGCAGCGGCATGTGACCCCTAGTCTGCCCCTGATGGCCTTAAGTGACAGCCAGCCAGTTCCTTGTCACCTATAGCCCCCATCAGATGGATGTGAGCATGGAGTCAATTACCTGCCAATGCTCCTGAGGACTCACCTTCTCAGCTTCCAGGCCAACCCTCCTGCGACCCCCGGATTCCCCGGATCCCCCTTTTGCCACCTCCATCCTCCCTCAGCCCCAGCCAGGTGGCCTCCCTGCTCTCTGGAACTCGGTCCCCCTCAGGCTCGTTGCCTCAGCTCCCCCCTCTCCCTGGAGTGCTCTGCCCACCAGGGCACCCTTTCTATTCCACCACAGCGATTTTCAGGGTCTCTAATACCCTATTTGTTCGTTTCCTTCTTTCTGGTCAGCCTCCCTCATCGACAGCACGAGCTCCTTGACAGCCAGCCCTTGTCTGCCTGGCTCCCCGCTGTGCCCCCACGTGTGGAACGGAGCCTGGCACAGAGTAGGGGCTCAATAAACACTGATTACTTGAAGAAATGCTCTGAGACCTGGCTGGAGGTACTGTGAATTCAAGCATCAAGATGATAACCACATACTTTAAAGCAGCTTGGTCAATAAACACTGATTACTTGAAGAAATGCTCTGAGACCTGGCTGGAGGTACTGTGAATTCAAGCATCAAGATGATAACCACATACTTTAAATAGCAGCTTGGAATTTTTTTTTTTTTTTTTCTTTTTAATAAGATGGGCAGAGCACAACTCTGTGATCTTGAGGGTACCTGTTTTCTGCTAGCCAGGCTCTCTCTAGGAAGGACATTAGGGACTGCTGTCCCAACAGAGGGGGAAACACGGCCTGACACGGGGTTCCCCCAAGAGTCCACCTCAGGTTTCTAATACTTAACGGATGTCGGGGAGACTGGGGCCCCTCAACCTCACAGACACACCTAAGACTCTCCTCGCTGCTGCAGTTTCCCCACCAGCAAAATGAGTTGAAACCTGGTAATTCCTGGAGCCACCCAGCCTCAACACCCAGAAAGCCCATAGCTGGCAAGTGAATCCAGAGGAATCAATGATATATATTCTAGGAGAAATGGCTTTAAGCCAGGAAACTCTCAGTGAGGATGGGTCTTTTCTCGGTGATGTCATATTTATTTCCTAAGGGCTATTAATTAACAACTTACTACTCTTCCGCTTATATCTGGTATTTCTTTAATCCTTCAGGAGAAAAACAGTTAACACGAAACTTAGGTGGTTATTGCTTCTGTTAAAATCAGCCGTGCCAGTTTAATAAGACCTACATATATTGACTTAGCACCTACCATGAGCCAAAGACTACATTGGGTGCCTTGGAAGGACCGTCTTCCAAACTTCTGGCTCAAGTGGTCAGGTAGGACACATGCTTTTCTCTCCAATTCCTTCTGAAGTCCCAATAAATTACAGGAAAAGAATTAAAAGGCACAAAATCACACAGATAAACAAAAAAAAAGGAAAAGACAAAACAGGCCAACAAGAGATGTCAGCAAAATTCTGGAACCTGGAAAGCTGATGGGCCACTTATCATGGACAGCAGGCTACAGAAAGCAAAAGAAAAGGGCTGGCAGGTTGATCAGAGGGGTAGAGCTCAGCAGCATGTCTACTCGTGCTCTGAAGGCTTAGGAATTGGTGGCCCGAGGCACCTCAGAGGTGGGAGAGCAGTGGGGCTGAAAACAGGAGGACCATTTGCAAGTCTATAAAAGGAGTTTTGCCCCCAGATTCTCTCCCTAACCCCTCT